TACGAGCAGTCTCGTTTTTTTTCTTCTGGCATCTGAAAAGTATCAACGTTCTGAGCTCAAAATTAGAAAACATTTTACCTGTGATCATTTTTTGTAAAGTTACGGGGTTTAAGACTGCCATTTTGGGACAATTAACACGCGAATTATTTCACGCTTTTAATGAGTAAACGGGGATATAATTCGTCTTAGAAATCGTTCCAAATTGGTTAAAGCAGGCTATTTGCCATAATTTCTATGTTACTAGGAGCAAAATCTGTTACTTTGTACTTTATATGTCTTGATTATTAAAAATCTAAATTAAAAAAAAAAAACTTTTTTTTTTGAAAAATTCATCAATTGTTATAAAGCGAACACTGCTTCATAGAATTTTTAAGGCAGTCGCAACATTCAGGGCTTTTTCCTGATACGAGCAGGTTTAGTATAATTTATTATGGAATTCAGAGGCAAAAAAATAGTATAAGGGGGAACCTTTGGGTCGGCAGGGGGTCGAATCCCTGAGAGGGGGGGGGGGAGGAGCTTCTAAACACCCTCCCTCATAAATAAGTCCGCTGGTGAATTGAACACTAGGAACTAAAATAGAAAATGGGACTCTAGCTAGCTAGAATTTATCTGGAATCCACATAAAATGCAGATTTTAGAAACCATTTTTGCGACATGATTTTTTTGAATTCCAACGAAAAACAAATAATGTTAGAGTTCTCAGTAAAAAAGCGCGAAAAAAAATAATATCAAAACGGTGTACGGTTTTTTTTTCATCGACTACTTCTCGAAACATAAGCACTATTGAGCGGAAAATTTCTTCTAGAATTTTTCGGGTCTACTTTTTTTTTCTAGAATTGGTTTAAAGGTTCTGTTGGATTTAGTCTCATGCAGTACTTATACCCACAATAGTTTTCGAAATTGTGAAATGACTGTTATGTGCAACTTTCAGACTAAAAGTTCTCCATAAAAGTGGGTTCGTCAAGAAAAGGAAGTAATTGGCGCGTCATTTTAAGAGCAGTAATGCTCGCGCTTGATGTTGTGATGTAATTATAAGATTTCATTTTAATTTATTAAATATAAATAATATATTGTTTCGACTTTCGAAGAAAGTGAGGAAAATATATGATCGGGGTAGTTTTTTTTTCAGACGATTATCCAAAAGAATATTTTGTCACTCCGAGGCTATTTCATGCAACAAAAACTATTTAAGACCAGTTACAGGGCAGTCAGAGCATTCAGGTCTTCGTCCTGATACAACCAGTCTTGATCATTTATATAATTACAAAAAAAATTCAAGTTTCAACTCAAAACAAACTAGAATTTTTTCTAGGCTACTTTTTCCTCGATAAAATTTGAAATAAACTAAAATTTTTCGGATGAAACTAAAATTTTTTATAATTGAAATGTTTATAAATTTTCATGCAGTGTGTTGATCATGCATAATAGCATAATTTATGGAAAAAAGAAAATAAAACTGAAATTTTAGACCTCGGTTCTCACTAATTTATAATTACAATTGTTTATTGACACTATTCGCAGGAGACGGTAGTGGCCAAAAACTGAATTACAGATTCGGCATCTTTGGTTCTAATTCACGAAATCCAATTTCGACCGACCGATCCTAAAATGTTTCTATCGGCGACTGTGGCGCCAATCTATACAATTTTTGAGGAGCGCATGCCGAAAAAAAATACGCAATTTTTGGTAAATTGTTGTTTTAAAAAAAATCATTTAAAATTCTTAAACCTAGATCCGCTCCTGGAATCAAATCGCCAAAAAATGAATTTCATCAGCATGAAATTATTAAATCGGTGAACTTGGAATGCTACTGGACCCAAATGAAATCAGCACATGACACTAAATTAGCCCACGCATTTAAATCTCAAGCCCCTGAAATAAAAGTAAAGGTACAAATTGGACTTTACCTTTAGTTCGCCAGGGATGGATAACAAATCAGGGAAAATACTATCGAAAAAGAATGGAATTGCTTTTGAATCTAGCTAATAGTGTGCATTAGCAGCCAAATGTATTCTGAAGGTAGAAAAGAGATAGAATTAGAGCAAATCTCGGACTTTTCCCTCTATAATCTAGGAAGCGTCACCGTTGCTCAGGAAATATCCCCTTGTACATTTTTTGAGCGGCGTAATGTAAGCTCAATCTTAATGTTATGTTAGCCAAAAAAGACCATCAATAAAACCATTGGTGCGTCAAAAACAGCTTGCTAGATCAAATATCACGAAAGAATAAAAATCAGACAGGTTTTGAGTAAATGGAATCAAAATACGGATTAAAAATGCATTTGATCGTTCGTCATCAATTGTTCTCTGTAATTTGGCACCGAACTTTGACAAAAACACAAGGGTGCAGCGTCAAACATAGTTCATTATTTAAACCGAGAACAGAATTAGATCATTTTCTGACAATCCAGCACAGTTAATGAAGTGAGAATTTTTGTCCGCCGCAAACGTTAGAAATGCGAACACTTTGACTTTTCTAACTTAAGGTTCAGCTTTTATTCTTGAGCTTTGTGTGTTTCGGAGGATACCATTAGATCTTTTTTGATGCAATTTTTGCAACCAGGGCCGAATTCAACTCAGTAACAGTTTTTTTTAGTAGGTAGTTCTTTTTCCTTAAGAATTGTAGTGATGTTAAAATAAAACGGACCTGTTTGATGAAAAGTTTAGGATGCCCAATAATCATTTCGTTTTTTTAAGGTATTGAGTAAAAACTTTAATTGAGGAAGCACGTTTTTCTCATTGCTGCTACAATGGCCAAGATTTAATTTAAAGACTAGACATTTTCAAGGGGTAGTACTAACATGCGAATTATTTATTTCCTCACGGAGAACCGCTGATGTACTCCTGCCAAAGAACTACATGCATTTTTTTAGTAATTTTTCTCGACTGAGAAATGCTAATTCGCCGTGAAAGCGAGCGCGAAAGAAGATGGGACCCTTTTAGTTGTTGTATACTTTGACTTTGTTCGGTACTTGAGCCTGTCTTTGGTACTTTCTATGCTTCATGTTTGATCTACATAGGTTTTTAATATTGCTTCAGGAAAAAACAGCGTCATATTTTTATTGAAGAATCATTACGAGGTCAAGTTGTGTATTTTGTGATTTGTAATCGGATTCCGCAATAGGCTGAAAACAGATTTGTCACGGAATCTGCAACTTTATTTTTTTTAATCTTCTTTGCTGTTTTGGGTTCCATGAATAATAGCTCAAACACCGTTTTTGCTTAAAAAAGCTTCAAAAACAGGCAAATTTACAGGCACCAAATTGTGTGCCTATTCAGAGTTCAATTTGGCTTCGTAATAATGAAAAAATTTCAAGATGATTTTCTGTAAGTATCATAACAGCTCGCAATTTGGTCCTACCCTTGACAAAAATTGCCCAATCCTAAAACTAAACCTCGGCCCGTATTGCAATAAAAAGCCCAAATGCTGAGTTTTTTCTCATTTTATAAAACGCAACCCAATATTGGGCAGCCTAAACGGTTCATCAAACAATTTTTTTTAACAAACTTAAAAAAACTCTTGCTGCACAGCAACCGGCTAACTGTTTTTTTTACTAGTTTTCCAGGTAAAATCAGGTACTAAAAATGTTCATCTACTACGTTCATGATTACCACTACGTTCATCAATTCTGACAAAACTAGTTTTACTCCGGAAAACTGTTTGCATTTCTTATGGATGTGGTCGGAACATTCGGTGCAACTGGCACATCAACCGACTACAATTTTTGATGGATCGATCGCTTCTATATATTTTCCTGACATTTTGGGCAGTGATTTTTTTGAACGATGCTTGTCTTTGCAACTGAATGTAGCCTGTACTATTACTAAATGGCTTATTGTTCCGACCATTGAAAATGGGGAGGAACTTAATTTTCGCGTGTTTTAGTTTTCTTTATTTTTCCGCCAAAATCAGCTGCCATGAATAATGAGCAGAGAGAATTGAGTAAACGATCATGCTAAAGCCCTTTCAGTCGTGATACAAATGACACTTAAAAATTTTCAGAAAATTCTCCCTCTGATGCGAAAAACCTGTTTAAATTTTGATTTTTAGTTCAATTTTGAGCAAAAAACGCGTTCGAGTAATGTTCGTAATATGGAAATTAACGATTTTTTAAAATACTTTTACGCTGATAACACTAATTTTACTATAAAGAAAATCAGTTTGGTAGTTTTTTTTCAGCGATTGTTTGACAATGAAGACTTTCAAAAAATATATATATATATATTACTATGGTACAAAAAATAATTTTTTTTGTTAAGTATTCATTTTTTGAAAAAAAGTGCCGATAATTCTAAATTCATTAATTTTCTACGCGAACGTAAAGTTCTCGAATCACACTGCCCGCTAAAAACGACACTTAAAGTTTTTATATGCATATGATCGGAACATTCTGTGCTACTTGAACAGCAACAGGCTATCCTTGTTAGTCTTTCAGTTTTCGCAGACAATCGGAATATATCAGCCAGCAATGGATTTTTGGCACCTCAAGCATACCGGTCTTCGGTCTGATACAGCCAGTCATGTTTGTAGATAGATGTTCAAAAAGTTCATTTCATATTTTGCATTGCAAATTCGTTTAAACAAAATTTACAAACAGGCAATTAGAAAAAGCTCAATGAACTCAAGGAAATTGCAAAAAATAATAGTGAGTAAACAAATCAACACGATAGGGCAAAGTTGAGCGTGAAAAAAAATTCTGAAGAACAATAAAAATTTAACGACCGAAATCCGTTAACGAATCAGACTGAAACAAAAACTCTTTTCTAGGCTTAGCTTGCAAATACGGTCTCATTTTTTGTATCGGTATGAGAGGGAGAAACTTTAGATATTAAGATAACTTTTGATAAAACTAACGTTTAGCAATAAATTTCTCCAGCGTATCGTCGCGAAGAAGCGGACAACTTGGATTGTCTGCCTTTTTTCTCCGATTCCAATAGTCTCAACTTATTGCGTCCGGTTGGTTTGAAACAATAAGCTCTTTAACCATGGCAAAAACGGACTGGCATACAAAGAACCTTTTATTATATCAGAGCTACAATTGATTATCAATGAAATATTTCGGCAAATTAAATTTATAATGTTAATTAATAGATAGCATCATAAACTTTGGAACATCTATTTAAAAGAATACTGTTCGACTGTCAAAGCCATGCGTTTGAATTTTGTTTGGATCAAGTCAACGCAACCAAACGATAGTTTAAAGCGTTAATGAACAAGAAACCTTGTGGTTACTACAGAAAATCCTGAATCAATCATACTCCATGGATAAGAAAAGCCAAAATGAAACAAAAACAGGGCCATTGAGTGCTTTTCTTTTCACAGATTGAGTCATTTTAAAATAAGAGCATCGCACATTATCGCGTTAACATCCATTTAGTAATCGGAAAAACAATTGGACTTTAAAAAGAACAAAAAATTACCTTGGTCAAAATTGGGTCTTTATAGTGTTCTGGGAGCTTTTCTTCTGAAAATCAATTTGGTCGACCTAAAAAAAGTTCGGCAAAATTTTCGAAAAATTTTTGAAAATCACATTTTGCTCGACTTAATTTTTTTCAACTTATCCATTTACAGCAATATAGGACACAATATAAGTTAAATATTTAACTTGAATAGTAATAGCTATTTGGTTATTGGCAATTCATATTTGAAATCTGCATCATATTTAGCACTTAGTTAATTTTAAAAGAAAAGCTATATCGGGGAATAAACGTCAACGTCAAGAAAGAGTGTACTCTACAAAGAATATCGGCACTATGGACATTAAACTAGCTTGGAAGTATCTATCTAAAGTGGCGGCATCTGAGGTCACTTCATGATGGAAAAGTTGATTTTCGCGTGATTGATGATGATTACAAATCAAAACACGAATTCAGATTGCGATTGAAAACTGCGAGTGAGATCTAAGATGTTCAACAGTGCTACAAAGACAGAAGATATATACAGCTAATCTAGCTTCAGATACAAATTACCGTAATCTAGCTTCAGATACAAAGTTACCGTACGAACAACTCAAATTAACAGCATATGAGCATTGCAAAGGATTCAAAATGTTGCAGAGACTTGGTTGGAAGTGAAAGCAGCCAAAAAAGAGGCATTATCAAATATTTCAGTTACCGTTGATCATTTTTATATATTTTAAAGCTTGCTAAATGTCTTTTGAACAGTTTTGTCAATCACATTGAGATTCCTCCAGTCACCGGCAGTGTGGTTTTTCCCATTAGGAAAATGTCAATCTCCCTTGCAGCTTGACGACCTTCATTGATAGCCCACACAACCAGACTCTGGCCTCGTCTGCAATCTCCGGCCGCGAACACTCGGTTGATAGACGTTGTGTACTTCTTAGGTCCGTCGCCTCCGCACTTGACATTGCCTCTGTTGTCCAAATTGAGTTTCAGTTCAGAGGCTATCGTCTTCTCCGGACCCAGGAACCCCATCGCGAGGAGCACCATGTCTGCTTTGAAGTGAGCTTCACTTCCCGGAATCTCGCTCATGGTAAATCTTCCACTGTTATCCTTCGTCCACTTCACTTTCACCGTATCAACTCCAGTCAGGTTGTTATTTTCATCAGCAGTGAAGTTTTTGCTCAAAATGCAATATTGCCTCGGGTCGTTTTTGAACTTAGCTTTGACCTCAGCATGACCGTAATCAGTTCGGAATATTCTCGGCCATTGCGGCCAGGGATTATCGTCTGCTCTGGATTCGGGTGATTCCGGTAAGATTTCGAAATTTGTGATAGACTTGGCCCCTTGCCTTAGCGAGGTTCCAATACAATCATTTCCAGTATCCCCGCCACCGATGATGATGACGTCTTTGTTTGCAGCCAGTAACTTTAGAATATCGTCCTTTCCTTTGCCCTGGTGTTTCTGCCACGTTTCCAGGAAACTCATTGCGAAATGGATCCCATTAGCATTGCTACCTGGGATGTTAAGACCTCGTGGCCAAGTTGCTCCTACTGTTAGAAGCACAGCATCGTAATCATTCATCAAACTCTTCGCTGGGACATCTTTACCGATTTCTGTGCTGGTTATAAACGTAATACCTTCGTCTTTCATCAGATCAATTCTTCTGTCGAGAATTTTCTTGTCCAGTTTCATATTTGGGATCCCGTATCTTAAAAGTCCGCCCGCTTTGTCATTGCGTTCGAAAACGAACACCCAGTGACCAGCGCTGTTCAACTGGGCGGCAGCTGCCAGACCTGCTGGGCCACTGCCGATGATGGCAACTCTGTGTCCAGTTCGGAATGGGATCTGCTGAGGTTTGACGAAGCCTTTTTCAAAAGCAGTCTCAATTATTGTATTCTCAATGTTTTTGATGTTAACTGGAGGAGCATTGATTCCAAGCACACATGCACCTTCGCAGGGAGCAGGGCAGACACGCCCAGTGAATTCTGGGAAGTTGTTGGTTTGTGCTAACTGCAGATAAGCTTCTTTCCAGTTGCCTTGGAAGACCAGGTTGTTCCAAGTCGGAATGATGTTACCCAGGGGACATCCGCTCTCGGACTGACAAAATGGGACTCCGCAGTCCATGCATCTCGCTGCTTGATACTTGATAGTATCTTTCACAAACTTGTGATCCTGAATCTCTCCGAAGTCTTTCATTCTATCTTTCACGTCTCGGTAATTCTTGTCCACTCTTTTGTACAACATGAAACCTTTAGTTTTGTTTAGCTTCTTAGCTAATTTAGGATTTTGAATGATGTCTTCAATATCTAAAGAGGATTTCTCCTTGCTCGGAGATGTTTTAACGTCGCCATTTCCCGACTTCACTTCAAGAACTTTTTCAGCCTCCTGTTGTCTCTTTATTTCGATATCTCGGAGCGCACGTTTGTACTCTTTTGGGAAAACTTTGTGGAAGTCTTTGCAGGATTCGGGCCACGACGCTAAGATCTCAGAAGCCACCACCGATCCAGTCTTTTCTTTGAACTCCTTCAATAGACCATGAACCAGATCGAGATCTTCGTTTAAGTTGAGTGCCTCCAAATCGACTGTCTCCGTGTTGCACAAAGAAGAAAAGACACGATCCTCGTCATATACGAAAGCAAATCCTCCTGACATTCCAGCAGCGAAATTACGCCCAGGTCTTCCTAATATGATTGCTATACCGCCAGTCATGTATTCACACCCGTGATCTCCACAGCCCTCGCAAACAGCGATTGCTCCTGAGTTTCTGACACAAAACCGCTCACAGGCTTGTCCTCTGAAGAAAGCTTTCCCATCAGTTGCCCCATATAAGCAAACGTTTCCCACGATGATTGATCCGTCCGATTTGAATATACTTTCCTTTGGAGGGAATATTACAATCTCACCACCCGAGAGTCCTTTACCCACGTAGTCATTGGAATCGCCTTCCAGCTCAAGGTGCACCCCTTTTGCCAAGAAGGAACCAAAAGCTTGACCAGCTGATCCTTTCAGTTTAATATCAACTCCAAAATGCTCCGGTAAACCAGCCTCCCCGTACTTTCTAGAAATGAAGTAACTCAATGAGGCTCCAAAGGCCCTGTCAACATTTTTGATTTCGTATTGAACCTCCATTCGATTCTGATGACCTTCGATGACTGGAAGCACTTGCTTGTAGATCTGGTAATCCAGACGATTTTCTAGATTGAACTCTTGCTTTACACACCCACCTACCATCTCAGTTTGGTCATCAGACGCTCGATGCAAGATACTGTGATAGTCCAGGGTTCTGGCTTTATCGGTTAACGGCTGCTTGATTCCAAGAAACTTCGTTTGACCAATCAGGTCATCAAACTTTTTCACACCCAGCGTGCTCATAATTTGTCGTATTTCCTCGGCCAACAGGAAAAGATAGTTCAACAAATGCTCTGGTTCTCCGGCAAACTTTTTTCTCAGCTCCGGATCTTGGGTGGCAATTCCTACAGGACATGTGTTAAGATGACACTTTCTCATCATGATGCATCCTAGAGTAATCAGAGGTGCAGTCGAGAATCCAAACTCATCGGCTCCTAGGATTCCAGCAATTACGACATCAAGCCCTGATCTGATTTGTCCATCAGCCTGTACTCGCACTCTTGACCTGAGTCCGTTCCTGACTAACACCTGATGGGCTTCCGAGAGTCCCATTTCCCAGGGTAGCCCAGCATGTTTGATTCCCGTCCAACTGCTTGCCCCAGTTCCTCCGTCATGTCCAGAAATCGTAATCAAGTCTGCTTTGCCTTTCGCTACTCCAGCTGCGACGATTCCAACGCCCAACTCCGACACCAATTTGACACTCACTCTTGCATACGGATTCGCACATTTCAGATCGTAAATCAACTGAGCGAGGTCTTCAATCGAATAGATGTCGTGATGCGGTGGGGGACTAATCAACCCCACATATGGAATTGCGTGTCTTGCTTCCGCAATATCCTCTGTCACTTTATAGTACGGCAGCTCACCGCCTTCGCCTGGTTTTGCACCTTGTGCCATTTTGATTTGCAAGTCATCCGCGTGACTCAGATAAGCCGAAGTGACGCCAAACCGAGCCGAGGCCACCTGCTTGATTGCAGATCGGGTCGATTTGTAGGAGTCCACGTTATCCATGAAGCGAACTTCGATCTCGCCTCCCTCGCCTGAATTCGACTTTCCACCCACTCGGTTCATTGCAACTGCCAATGTTTTGTGAGCCTCGTCTGAGATGCTACCAAGGCTCATAGCTCCAGTTGCGAATCGTTTAACTATGTTTACAGCCGGCTCCACTTCGTCAATTGAAATCTGTCCGTGGATAGGCTGAACTAGACAAAACTGGCCTCTGATTGTGCAATAACGATTCATTTCCTGAGTGATTTCGCTGTACTTTTTGTAGGCAGCTCTGGAATTTAATTTTGCAGCCTCTTGCAACGCTGCTACTGCCTCTGGTTCGTTAAGATGTTTCTCGCCACCTTTACGCCAGTGATAGACTCCAGGGTTGTTTGCGATGTTGTTTACAACTCCGAATTGACCAAACTGATTGTATGCAATGCTGTGGCGACTGAGAGCCTCGTTGGCTAAATCTTTAAACCCACAGCCTCCAAGACGCGTTGGAGACCCAGTGAAGCACTTTTTCACCACTTCTTCAGAAAGACCCAAAGGCTCAAAAATCTGGGCTCCTTTATAGCTTTGAAGGGTACTGATTCCCATTTTTGCCATGACTTTGTTGATCCCGACAACGCAAGCGTATTTGAAATTCTTCTCGATATCTTCCGAAGTAAGGTTCGGATCGATCGCAGCTTTGATTCTATTCATAGTTTCGAAGATGACGTAAGGACAAACTGCATCGGCTCCGTATCCAATCAGGACACAGAAATGATGCATTTCTCTCGCTTCTCCAGTTTTCACTATCAGACTAGTTTTCGACCTGAGCTTCTTCTGAATCAGATGTTGATGAATCGCTCCTAGTGCTAGAAGACTACTAATAGGCACTTTTTCCTTGCCAACTCCTTCGTCACTTAAAATTAAGAATGTCGCACCACTTTGTACCAATTTTGCAGCCTCCGCACAAATTCGATCCAACTCTCTTTTCAGCATATACTCATTAGCTTCAACGACGATTGAGATTGTCGCCGTTTTGTAATCATTTTTAGTCAGGGCTTTAATTCCTTCAACTTCTCTTGCAGTCAGAATTGGTTGGTCTAAAACGATTCTCTTGCTCCATTCCTCGGAAGGTTCTAAAAGATTCTGCATTGGTCCAATGGGACATCTGGCTGACATCACGATTTTTTCACGGAATGGGTCAATTGGAGGGTTCGTAACCTGTGCAAATTGCTGTTTGAAGTATTCATAGATAGGAGGATTGAACTTGGACAGACATGCAAGAGGCGCGTCATTTCCCATGGATCCCAGTGCTTCTTTCTTATTAGCGACCATCGGTGCCAAGATCAAGTTGATGATCTCATTTGTGTATCCGAAACTTATCAATCGTCTGTCACTTTCCAGAAGCTGGACTATGATGTCTTTAGCGTCAGAATCACTACCATATCCATTCATAGCGACTTCAGATCCAACATGTCCGTTCATCATGTGACTAGCATGGCCATTAACTTCGGCAGCAGGAAGCGGAATGTCGTTGATGTGAATTTCATGTCGACACCACTCTCCATACGGGAATCTGTTACTCACTTCATCCTTGATTTCAGCTTTCTGGCTGCTGTCCTCAAAGAACTTCTTTTTGACTGTATCGACAAGAAGCAACCGTCCAGGCTTCAGGCGCCCTTTCAGTACCACCTTCTCTGGCGCTATATCTACAACGCCAGTTTCACTTGACATATACAAGAAGCCGTCTGTAGTTTGAACGAAACGCGAAGGTCTTAGGCCATTTCTATCCAACACAGCTCCTATGTATCGTCCATCCGAGAAGGCAAGCAAGGCAGGTCCATCCCAGGGTTCCATTACATAGGAATTGAACCGGTAGTAGTCTTTTCGTTTCTGGTCCATATTCGGATCCTGCTCCCAGGCCTCGGGTACCATCATTAAAATAGACTCATACAGAGTCCTGTCACTCGTGTTGTGGATAAACTCCATCACATTGTCAAATGCACCCGAGTCACTGACATCAGCCTCGACAACTGGGAACAGTTTCTGAAGAGACATTCCGTACTTTTTACTGAACATTACTCCTTCACGTGATCTCATCCTGTTCACGTTTCCCCGAAGTGTGTTTATTTCTCCATTGTGACAAAGCATACGTTGGGGATGAGCTCGTTCCCAGCAAGGGAAGGTATTAGTTGAAAAGCGACTGTGAACCAGTGCCAGTTTGGACTTGAAATTTGGACTCATCAGGTCTGGATAATACTGAAACAGTTGGAAAGACGTGAACAAACCCTTGTAAGTGATTGTTGAAGTAGACAAACTGCAAATGTAGAATCGCAAGTTGTGCGGACCCGGAACTTGATGCGTTGCCTGCTTCCTCAGTAGGTACACATTCTTCTCGAAATCATCGGTCGGATCCTGGGCAGTTAGGAACACCTGAATAATATGCGGCTCAGCAGATCGTGCAGTATTCCCCAAACATGAGTTGTTTGTCGGCATTTGTCTGATGTGAAGTATGTTTAAATCACATTCAGCTATGAGTTCTTTGAAGTGGTTCATGCATTGATTCCTGGACCTCTCGAGTCTGTCTAGGAAAATGATTCCGGTGGTATACCTTCCTGCTTCTGGTAGAACCACTTTGTACTCCTGCCTGAAAAGACAGAATACTTCCTGTATGTGACAACCTTTTCCGACAGAAATCAATAATACCACCGTGTACCGCACCTCCGGTGCTTCGAACTTTTGGTTACGCAAAAACCATCATATCTCGGAAACTAAGATGACTTGAGCGGTCAAACTTGGAAACAAGATCGGCAACCTCTGATAGTACCCTGACAGCACCCGATTACAATGTTGGAATTTCAAATTTTGAAAAGTTTTTTTATTCAAATTATGAAAAACCATAAAATTTCATATGTCGGAGACTAAAAGGGGCCGAGCAGTCAAATTTGGAGGCAAAATTTGCAACCATTGAGAGTAACTTGAGAACAATCCACTATAGGATAGGGATTTCCAAAGTTAGTTAATTTATTTTAATTTTGAAACACATTGAAAAATGTCTAACCTTGGAAACTAAGGTTTTAGTAGTCATATTTGGAGGAAAAATTTGCAACCCCTGAAAATACCTTGGAAGCACCCAGCTAAAAGGTTCTGAATTTCCAATGTTGTAAAATTTTTTAAATCTAAGTTCTTTGAAATATCTTGAAAAAACATCATATTTGGGTAACAAAGAGCGTTTGAACAGTCACACTTGGAGGCAAGATTTACAACCTTTGAGAGTAACCTGAAAACACCCAATTACAAGGTTGTGAACTTCAAATTTCATAAATCTAAGTTTTTGAAAACATCACAAAAATCGTCGTACCTCGTAAACTTGGGTATTCATACTTGGAAGACCAATTCGCAACCCCTGGAGAGCCCTGATAGCATCCCTCGATTGGGTTAATTATTTCTTACTTGGTGGAATAATCAATGAATTTAAACGTCAAAGAAATTAAGCGTGGCGAGATAGTGAAGCCCGCGTTTAAATATATAATAGATAAAAGATTTAACTGATCGATGAGCACCACCGCTTCCTAAAATGTTGAAAAAATCTTTGGTTGTTCTTTTTGTAGTTCAAAATAGGGTGGTGTTACTATTTCCTGTCTTTAAAATAGGAATTGCAGCTACTTTTTTCTGGCTCACGAGAACTTTGCCGTTTTAATGTCTTGTTAATCAAGGTATCAAATCAATTGTTACCAATGGTATTACAGCAACATCGATTAAAATGTTTCTGTGCGCCTGATTCGATTATGAAAAGCACTTTTCCAATAAACTCAATTTAGAAAACTGGATTAATATTTAAATTGTTTATTTGGCTAGGAAATGTGAAAATTAAAATCCATTTTCGAAATAAGAAGTCAATCACGTTTTTCGCGAGCTTTCCAATTTTGCTGTTCGATAGCGGAGTTTGCCTTCCTTTTTACAAAGGAAACGAACTGAACTTAAAAAAGAAACCAAAAGTCAAACCACGAAAAAATGAAATTGAGCCTGAACAAATTTTGAAAGTTAACCTGAATTTTTTTTTAAAATCAAGAACTACATGAGTCTTCCAATATTCATATTCCTATAATTAAAATAGAGTAAAACCAAGATTTCACAGCTTAATTAAAAGCATATCGCCCTATTATATACATTCTCACTCGCTTTATTTGCTCGAAATTGAACAAAAAAAAATCAAACACTTCAAACCGGCTTTTCTTGACACAAGACTGAAAGAGCTATAATATGATATATCACTCGACTCATTCCGATGATTAACTTGAAACCTGATTTTGCGTGAGAAAAAAGTTTAAAAGAACAATACAGCACACCCAAATACAAAGTTCTTCCCTACTTTAAGTGCTCAGCACAATAAAACTTATATTATCACAGCCAGGTTTTTCCGGTCGTTTTTTAAAATCTCTTTAAAACTTCGCAACACATCCCGGCCTGAAAAACAATTGGATTCATCCATTATTTCCCCGTTTTAGTTCAAAAACAGGACTATAGGAATTTTCGCGTTGCAAAAGCGCGGTAAAGCTTGTTTTCTTGGATACATATTTCAACAAGCAAATTGTTAATTGCTGCCTATTTTTCCGACTAGGGAAATCTCTAATGCGCGAAGGACTGAATGAGCGAAACTTTTGTCAATCAATCAAGCTCAGATGTGAAAACGAAGCAAGAAATTCAGTCCGCCTTAGGCAGTTTAAAAGGCGTTGATTGGTTGAGAACTTTCGCTCATGAGAATAGGCCCGGTTCCGACTACCCTCTTAAGGGTTGGGAATGAACTATGGATTGGCTTATGTTTTGTTCCGCCTGATTTTGATAGCCACAAAGAAATCACGTATAAGATCAAAGGCGGCCTCATATCAAAGCCCTATCGGTCGTGACTCGGATTCCCAAAATATTCAGGAGTCGAAAAAAGGGTATTCATTTTTTATAGTTTTTCAGGCAGGAAACTTCAGCAGACTGATTTTCCAACCTAATTCTTCTGTTTAAAGGAAGCATGATCAATTTATTATTTTTTAAATTCTAGCTAACATTATTACCTAACCCTTACAGCTCATTAACCAATGCTTAACCTTCTACTAGTAAAAAAAAAATCAAAAACTCATTTTTTTTCATTGTTTTTTCTTATAAAAGTCACGCGATCGGAACTTTTTGAGCTACTCTTACCACAACAGGCTACTTTTGTTATTTATAAGACAATTGGCAAACTTCAACAGCAAGCAGAGGGACGCCTTCGAGTACTATTGCAATAAATGCGGATAATTGATGGTCATTAATGTTTCCAAACCCCTGATTCAAACTCCATCCTCTGGTTTGATAGGCACTCGATTTCTCCACTATACCAAAATTGTTGACAGCGCTCACTCGCATAGAAATACAGACAGCAATGAACACTTTAATTAAGTGGGTATATCAATATCTAGCGCAATAAAACAGACTTTTCGCACTTGTATTCAGCTAGAATTTGCACGATCACCACTTTGGCTCCAATTGGGGGATGAACGTGAAAAGCCAGCATGGCAAAATGAAATTCAAAGAACATAAGTGAAAATTTACTTCGTAGCTAATTGATAATTTTAGATTTAAAACCTTTCATAAAACTGAAAATGAGGGGCAAAAAATGAACTAGGAGTTAGCGCTAAATGGTTTGTCTGAGTTAAGTGGCCAGTATTTTTAGTCCCACCGATGCCGCATGAATTTACACAGCCAGTATCAAAATGGCTAACTGCTTCCTTTCATCAACTTGCTCTTTCAAAAACGGATTTATACTGCTAGTCTCAATGCACTAAAAAGGCAACTTTCCGTTTGATTACGCTCTTAAAAATACCCATTGAACTGCGTTCAAATCCACCTTTCAAACTTGAGGAAACAAGGGTAAAAATTGAATTAAAAAGCTAGAAACTCGAGGGGACCTATTTTGGTAGGAAAATGAGATTTGCATCACTAATTGACCAAATCAATGCTTCATGTATTTTCAAGCACAACCAGATTTTGATAACATCGTGGCTTTCTACTGTTAGCTGACCAAAAGCAAGATTAAATTGACCATTTGTTCAGTTTTTATTTGGTATCTACTAAACGGTCATTTATTGCTTTTGACTTGAAAAATATGAGAAAAGGAGACGAAAGAAATCAGTTGAATTATTATATCGGCGCGCAAAAAAATGGCGCTTATATTTTTTAAACATAATATATTCAATTTAAGCTTTGAGTATTTTTGTTTAAGTTCTACAGCAAAAACGTGCCTTCCAAAATACTAATAAGTAGTTCTCGATCATAAAAATGTGCAATTAACAGGCTATACTCCATCGAGAAGCTTTCATACGGTTCCATCTATCCACTCCTTATTGAACACTACAACAGCATGAACAAAATTGATCAGGAATTTCACATGGTGCATCAATGGAAAAACACCAAGGGGGTAATTTGAGGAAGAATAATACCTTCCAGTTATATGCTACGCTCCTACGCACTAGATAACATACATATATGCATTTCAAAAATGGTCAAAATCAACCGCTTTATTTTCACAACAAAGGGCACTGAAAAAATCTCCTACCAATATTGCTGAGAACAAAGCTTTTACATGAAGTTGGAACAGCACAATTTCTATTTTCTATTTTAGTAAAGATAAATCTGCACACTATTTGAAAAGGCCCTCACTTATAAGCAGCATATCTTGTGACGCAAACAAAAAGCAGGGAAAAATTTCACGCGTATTAGAGTGCTTAGACCGATGGATTTAGATATGACCGCGCGTACAAGATCGGCCGTAAAACTGTCACTAGCAGTTTTCCAAATAATCAATGCCCACTAATTTGAAAAAAGGCAGAAATGTTGTTTTTCAAAAGTCAATTATTTTTAGCTCTCAATTTTTCAATATCGTATTTACAATCCAGGGTTGTCAACAGCTGTTGGCATCATGTTTTGCCTAAAAATATATATAAATAGCCGAAAGACAGTTGGAAAAGAGTCAATGAACGCAAGGAACCAAAAAATATATGTTTTAAAATATAAGTTTGAATTTCATGTAAAAAATAAATGGCCTTAACCCTGTTTGAATTTCAAGATGAACTTAAGATTGACACTTTTGATAAAACTAACTCAATTTGAGACACCTGGATCAGTAGTAAAAATTTTATTCAGCTGGGAAATCTCAAAACTAAATTCCAATTTCGATACCAGAAGTCGTTCACGTTTTTTGCGCCATTTTCACATTCCTATTGGGAAAGGACAATTCAACTAACTTTCAGTAGTTAAATTTAAATTGAACTAAAAAAATGCATTTATACCTAAATGCATTAATATGTATGATAGAAAAACTGCGTTACTAGAGCATTTTATAACAATTTCCTGAAAAAAAATCACCAAGACCAATACAAGAGTCTTCACTACGTTCGTAGACTCTTAATAAAAGTACTAGAAATTGGAGGTTCGGATCGATCGCAGCTTTGATTCTATTCATAGTTTCGAAGATGACGTAAGGACAAACTGCATCGGCTCCGTATCCAATCAGGACACAGAAATGATGCATTTCTCTCGCTTCTCCAGTTTTCACTATCAGACTAGTTTTCGACCTGAGCTTCTTCTGAATCAGATGTTGATGAATTGCTCCTAGTGCTAGAAGACTACTAATAGGCACTTTTTCCTTGCCAACTCCTTCGTCACTTAAAATTAAGAATGTCGCACCACTTTGTACCAATTTTGCAGCCTCCGCACAAATTCGATCCAACTCTCTTTTCAGCATATACTCATTAGCTTCAACGACGATTGAGATTGTCGCCGTTTTGTAATCATTTTTAGTCAGGGCTTTAATTCCTTCAACTTCTCTTGCAGTCAGAATTGGTTGGTCTAAAACGATTCTCTTGCTCCATTCCTCGGAAGGTTCTAAAAGATTCTGCATTGGTCCAATGGGACATCTGGCTGACATCACGATTTTTTCACGGAATGGGTCAATTGGAGGGTTCGTAACCTGTGCAAATTGCTGTTTGAAGTAATCATAGATAGGAGGATTGAACTTGGACAGACATGCAAGAGGCGCGTCATTTCCCATGGATCCCAGTGCTTCTTTCTTATTAGCGACCATCGGTGCCAAGATCAAGTTGATGATCTCATTTGTGTATCCGAAACTTATCAATCGTCTGTCACTTTCCAGAAGCTGGACTATGATGTTTTTAGCGTCAGAATCACTACCATATCCATTCATAGCGACTTCAGATCCAACATGTCCGTTCATCATGTGACTAGCATGGCCATTAACTTCGGCAGCAGGAAGCGGAATGTCGTTGATGTGAATTTCATGTCGACACCACTCTCCATACGGGAATCTGTTACTCACTTCATCCTTGATTTCAGCTTTCTGGCTGCTGTCCTCAAAGAACTTCTTTTTGACTGTATCGACAAGAAGCAACCGTCCAGGCTTCAGGCGCCCTTTCAGTACCACCTTCTCTGGCGCTATATCTACAACGCCAGTTTCACTTGACATATACAAGAAGCCGTCTGTAGTTTGAACGAAACGCGAAGGTCTTAGGCCATTTCTATCCAACACAGCTCCTATGTATCGTCCATCCGAGAAGGCAAGCAAGGCAGGTCCATCCCAGGGTTCCATTACATAGGAATTGAACCGGTAGTAGTCTTTTCGCTTCTGATCCATATTCGGATCCTGCTCCCAGGCCTCGGGTACCATCATTAAAATAGACTCATACAGAGTCCTGTCACTCGTGTTGTGGATAAACTCCATCACATTGTCAAATGCACCCGAGTCACTGACATCAGCCTCGACAACTGGGAACAGTTTCTGAAGAGACATTCCGTACTTTTTACTGAACATTACTCCTTCACGTGATCTCATCCTGTTCACGTTTCCCCGAAGTGTGTTTATTTCTCCATTGTGACAAAGCATACGTTGGGGATGAGCTCGTTCCCAGCAAGGGAAGGTATTAGTTGAAAAGCGACTGTGAACCAGTGCCAGTTTGGACTTGAAATTTGGACTCATCAGGTCTGGATAATACTGAAACAGTTGGAAAGACGTGAACAAACCCTTGTAAGTGATTGTTGAAGTAGACAAACTGCAAATGTAGAATCGCAAGTTGTGCGGACCCGGAACTTGATGCGTTGCCTGCTTCCTCAGTAGGTACACATTCTTCTCGAAATCATCGGTCGGATCCTGGGCAGTTAGGAACACCTGAATAATATGCGGCTCAGCAGATCGTGCAGTATTCCCCAAACATGAGTTGTTTGTCGGCATTTGTCTGATGTGAAGTATGTTTAAATCACATTCAGCTATGAGTTCTTTGAAGTGGTTCATGCATTGATTCCTGGACCTCTCGAGTCTGTCTAGGAAAATGATTCCGGTGGCATACCTTCCTGCTTCTGGTAGAACCACTTTGTACTCCTGCCTGAAAAGACAGAATACTTCCTGTATGTGACAACCTTTTCCGACAGAAATCAATTATACCACCGTGTACCGCACCTCCGGTGCTTCGAACTTTTGGTTACGCAAAAACCATCATATCTCGGAAACTAAGATGACTTGAGCGGTCAAACTTGGAAACAAGATCGGCAACCTCTGAGAGTACCCTGACAGCACCCGATTACAATGTTGGAATTTCAAACTTTGTAAAGTTTTTTATTCAAATTATGAAAAACCATAAAATTTCATATGTCGGAGACTAAAAGGGGCCGAGCAGTCAAATTTGGAGGCAAGATTTGCAACCATTGAGAGTAACTTGAGAACAATCCACTATAGGATAGGGATTTCTAATGTTAGTTAATTAATTTTAATTTTGAAACGCATTGAGCAGTCACACTTGAGGTTAATTTTGTAGAAAACCTTCAAAAATTTCTATTTCCAAAAGAAATTTTAAATTAAATAATTATAATGGAGTAAAACCAAGATTTCACAGCTTAAATAAAAGCATATCGCCCTATTATATACCTTCTCACTCGCTTTATTTGCTCGAAATTGAACAAAAAAATCAAACACTTCAAACCGGCTTTTCTTGACACAGAATTGAAAACTTTCGTCGTTCGAATCAAGACTGAAAGAGCTATAATATGATATATCATTCGTCTCATTCCGATGATTAACTTCGAAACTGATTTTGCGTGGGAAAAAAGTTTAAAAGAACAATACACACAGTGAATTGAGCCGCCAGGTTTTTCCGGTCATTTTTTAAAATCTCTTTTAAACTTCGCAACTCATCCCGACTTGAACCACAATTGGATTCATCCATTATTTCACCGTTTTAAATGAAAAACAGGACTATAGGAATTTTCGCGTTGTAAAAGCGCGGGAAAGCTTGTTTTCTTGGATATATATTTCATCATACAAATTTGTTTGCGTTGTTTTCTAGTATTGTTTGTTGTCCCGCACGTTAATTGCTGCCTATTTTTCCGACTAGGGAAATCTCTAATGCGCGAAGGACTGAATGAGCGAAACTTTTGTCAATCAATCAAGCTCAGATGCGAAAACAAAGCAAGAAATTCAGTCCGCCTTAGGCAGTTTAAAAGGCGTTGATTGGTTGAGAACTTTCGCTCATGAGAATAGGCCCGGTTACGACTACCCTCTTAAGGGTTGGGAATGAACTATGGATTGGCTTATGTTTTCTTCCGCCTGATTTTGATAGCCTCAAAGAAATCACGTATAAGATCAAAGGCGGCCTCATATCAAAGCCCTATCGGTCGTCACTCGGATTCCCAAAAAATTCAGGAGTAGAAAAAAGGGTATTCATTTTTTTTATAGTTTTTCAGACAGGAAACTTCAGCAGACTGATTTTCCAACCTAATTCTTCTTTTTAAAGGAAGCATGATCAATTTATTATTTTTTTAAAATTCTAGCTAACATTATTAACTAATCCTTACAGCTCATTAACCAATGCTTAACCTTCTGCTAATAAAAAAAAATTAAAAACTCATTTTTTCATTGTTTTTCCTTATAAAAGTCACGCGATCGGAACTTTTTGAGCTACTCTTACTACAACAGGCTACTTTTGTTATTTATAAGACAATTGGCAAACTTCAACAGCAAGCAGAGGGACGCCTTCGAGTACTATTGCAATAAATGCGGATAATTGATGGTCATTAATGTTTCCAAACCCCTGATTCAAACTCCATCCTCTGGTTTGATAGGCACTCGATTTCTCCACTATACCAAAATTGTTGACAGCGCTCACTCGCATAGAAATACAGACAGCAATGAACACTTTAATTAAGTGGGTATATCAATATCTAGCGCAATAAAACAGACTTTTCGCACTTGTATTCAGCTAGAATTTGCACGATCACCACTTTGGCTCCAATTGGGGGATGAACGTGAAAAGCCAGCATGGCAAAATGAAATTCAAAGAACATAAGTGAAAATTTACTTCGTAGCTAATTGATAATTTTAGATTTAAAACCTTTCATAAAACTGAAAATGAGGGGCAAAAAATGAACTAGGAGTTAGCGCTAAATGGTTTGTCTGAGTTAAGTGGCCAGTATTTTTAGTCCCACCGATGCCGCATGAATTTACACAGCCAGTATCAAAATGGCTAACTGCTTCCTTTCATCAACTTGCTCTTTCAAAAACGGATTTATACTGCTAGTCTCAATGCACTAAAAAGGCAACTTTCCGTTTGATTACGCTCTTAAAAATACCCATTGAACTGCGTTCAAATCCACCTTTCAAACTTGAGGAAACAAGGGTAAAAATTGAATTAAAAAGCTAGAAACTCGAGGGGACCTATTTTGGTAGGAAAATGAGATTTGCATCACTAATTGACCAAATCAATGCTTCATGTATTTTCAAGCACAACCAGATTTTGATAACATCGTGGCTTTCTACTGTTAGCTGACCAAAAGCAAGATTAAATTGACCATTTGTTCAGTTTTTATTTGGTATCTACTAAACGGTCATTTATTGCTTTTGACTTGAAAAATATGAGAAAAGGAGACGAAAGAAATCAGTTGAATTATTATATCGGCGCGCAAAAAAATGGCGCTTATATTTTTTAAACATAATATATTCAATTTAAGCTTTGAGTATTTTTGTTTAAGTTCTACAGCAAAAACGTGCCTTCCAAAATACTAATAAGTAGTTCTCGATCATAAAAATGTGCAATTAACAGGCTATACTCCATCGAGAAGCTTTCATACGGTTCCATCTATCCACTCCTTATTGAACACTACAACAGCATGAACAAAATTGATCAGGAATTTCACATGGTGCATCAATGGAAAAACACCAAGGGGGTAATTTGAGGAAGAATAATACCTTCCAGTTATATGCTACGCTCCTACGCACTAGATAACATACATATATGCATTTCAAAAATGGTCAAAATCAACCGCTTTATTTTCACAACAAAGGGCACTGAAAAAATCTCCTACCAATATTGCTGAGAACAAAGCTTTTACATGAAGTTGGAACAGCACAATTTCTATTTTCTATTTTAGTAAAGATAAATCTGCACACTATTTGAAAAGGCCCTCACTTATAAGCAGCATATCTTGTGACGCAAACAAAAAGCAGGGAAAAATTTCACGCGTATTAGAGTGCTTAGACCGATGGATTTAGATATGACCGCGCGTACAAGATCGGCCGTAAAACTGTCACTAGCAGTTTTCCAAATAATCAATGCCCACTAATTTGAAAAAAGGCAGAAATGTTGTTTTTCAAAAGTCAATTATTTTTAGCTCTCAATTTTTCAATATCGTATTTACAATCCAGGGTTGTCAACAGCTGTTGGCATCATGTTTTGCCTAAAAATATATATAAATAGCCGAAAGACAGTTGGAAAAGAGTCAATGAACGCAAGGAACCAAAAAATATATGTTTTAAAATATAAGTTTGAATTTCATGTAAAAAATAAATGGCCTTAACCCTGTTTGAATTTCAAGATGAACTTAAGATTGACACTTTTGATAAAACTAACTCAATTTGAGACACCTGGATCAGTAGTAAAAATTTTATTCAGCTGGGAAATCTCAAAACTAAATTCCAATTTCGATACCAGAAGTCGTTCACGTTTTTTGCGCCATTTTCACATTCCTATTGGGAAAGGACAATTCAACTAACTTTCAGTAGTTAAATTTAAATTGAACTAAAAAAATGCATTTATACCTAAATGCATTAATATGTATGATAGAAAAACTGCGTTACTAGAGCATTTTATAACAATTTCCTGAAAAAAAATCACCAAGACCAATACAAGAGTCTTCACTACGTTCGTAGACTCTTAATAAAAGTACTAGAAATTTTCTTTTCTACAAAGAGAATCATTTTTGTATAGCAGCAAGTAAAAATGCCCGTCGTTTCATTGAAATGATAAGAAACTTTGGATTCGTTTCATTTTCGCCAAAATATTGGTCACAGCAGCAAAACGACCAATCGAGATAATGGTTAGATAGAAATTTTGGTACACTTATTTCGATTGGTCAATTTGTTGCACTGACTAATATTTTAGCAAAAATGAAGCGAATCCAAGCAATTTTTTAACATTTCAATGAAATCACGTGCAATTTTATGTGCTTTATGTTAAAGGTAAGATAGAGATTTTAATTTATTCAAAATAATTATCTGGTTCTATGATAAAAGAATTAAATATTTAGTTGTTCTCAGATTCTGACACAACAGAAAGACAGGCTGCTTGTCACTTTTCATTTTTTAACAAACTGAAACCAATCGTCCTTTCTTAAACAATCTACGGCCAAATTGGAACAAGATTTTGCGAAGGAACAACTTCACAGTAGCAAATCTGAAAGAAAAAACTATAAAAGAAGACTAAGTTGCTACACGTTTTTCAAAAATTGTACTGATATAACCACTGGGGCAGCTAACAACAAAAACCTAAACATCTAAGCCGATAAGAATAAGCGACTTTCGATGACCAATTTTCTTAAATTTTTATACTTACTTTAAAAAAAGCTATTTATTGCTAGTAACCTTTTCGAGAAAGGATACACTTCCTGTATTGTTACAACTTTTATTTACGGAATAATACGTTTTCTTAAAAGAATTATGGGAAGCCGGTTGCTGCGCAGGTATCAGAAAATACTCCGAAAAAAATTAACACAGAGGTGAAGCGGAGCTTTGCATCACTTGCAATACAACACAAATATAAAAAAAAACATTAGAAGTACAAGAAAACAAAAACTGTTGAAAAAACTAAGTCTTCTGAAATTTTCGTATGTCTCGATAAAATTTCAATCTAGGCAAACATGCCGATTGAAACATTTGACTTTTAAATTAGCAACGGAACAAAACTGACGAAGCGGAAACAAAGCTGACAATTATTTTAACAGACACCAGTTGAGCCGAAAAAAATGATTTTTTTTTTGAAAAGTTTCAAGTCCTTTGCAAACGCAATGAACAACATTTGCAACTATAATGAACATAGCCAACTGACAGTTGGAAAAGAGAGATAAACGTAATTTGAAAAAAAAGATGAAAAAAGACAAAATGATAAATAGATGGCCTTCAAACTCTTTGAATTTCTAGAACAAAATATAATTAAAACTTTTTGATCAAACTAACCCAATTTGAGAAAACTGGATCATTGGGTAAAGTTTCTATTCAGCTGGAAAATTTGATAATTAAATTCTATTTTCGTGATTTTTACATTTTCGTGATTTTTACATTTGAGGGTGGAGTGTGCCTTCCTTTTACCAAAGGAAATGAGCTGAAAAAAAAAACCAAAAACAAATCATCGCGACCTATATAAGAGTCTGAAGTAAACTAGAAAAAAAGTTGCTAACCAGAAAAAAACTCCAGTTTGATAATGCTTGCTTATTGGAAGCGTACAAAATCAAAAACGACAACAGTTGTCTTGAAAAAAAAAACTGATTTGTAATTTTTATTGCCAAGGATGCGCTAAAGGAAACTTCCAAAACTATTGTTTGTGTGAAAAAAAAAATGGATTTACTCATACCAACGTTCATTCTAGGCAGAACATGCCATGTCAAAAAAATACTTGAATATTAAATAATCAACGGAACAACACTTACGAAGCGGAAACGAAGCCGACAATTTTTGAGCAGATATCAGTTGAGCCGAAGAAAAAGAAGACTTTGTAAAAAATAAGTTTCAAGTCGCCCCGCCCCAGCTAAAACTACAACGAACAAAACTTGCAGCAATAATAAAAATTGCTTGCAGCACGAGAAAAATTCGCGATAAAGCATCTACGGCGACTAAATTTGAGCGAACAAATGAAGGTCCCACAATTCAATTTCTAATGGAAAATAATTTTAAAATCATACATACTGAAAAAACAAGGTCCGACCGGAACTCGAACGCTAGACCTTACGGTGCAAAGGAAAGCACAGCATCTCTCGGCCAAGTGCAAAAGATCCTGGAATTTGTTAAGTTTTAATAACAAAGAAAATAAAATTTGTAAGAAAAATTGTTTACGGGGAAAAAATCTAGTTCCCGATTACAAGACACTTGCTTTCGCAGTGTAAAAACGAAAGTTACTGATCGCTTCACTCGCTCAAAACTAGACTAAAAATTTTGTGGACAAATTTTTGGATTTTGTTTTAAATGCCGTCCAAATCACGATTAAACGACACCCGTTTTACATAACCTACGCGTTAACAAAACCTACGCGTACCTACGTTATCCGAAAAAACTCATTAAAAATAAAAAGTGATAAATTTACAAACTACAGAACAACTTTCAGTTATAGTAAGAAATGTTTGAATCAAAAATTGTTAAACTCAAGCTTTAAACAGAAACTGCTGGGAAAGGGGTACAAGATAATATAAAATGCATTAGATAAAAAAAGGAAAATCAGCCGATAGAAATTAGGACGAAAACTACAAATCCGGAAAAACCAGCATTTTGTCAATACAATTGAAAAAATAATTATTCCCTCAAAAGAACTAGGAGGCAAGTGAAACAAGGAGCAAGGGAAAAAGCAGTGAACCTTGCCTAAATCCACTAAAAACATCCAAAATAGAATAAATAGTCTCACCCAAGCGCACTAGCTGTTTTCTGTAGTTTAAATAACAGGCTATTATTCAGAAGTGTTTACCCCTAGCACTTAGATACGTAGCTCATTAAGAAGTTTGGAATAAGAGACAGTATTGTGACCTTTTGCAAAAATCATTTAATATGCTAATGATAGTGCCTTAGCGTTGCTGCTGTAGTCTCGTGGACTGTTGGCGATAATGGGTTCGTTTATTTTAGTGGGTTTGTAGTTTCGTCTAATCCTCTATAATAGCACTAATTGATTCACGCTTTTTTTAAGGTATTAACAATTCATTTATAAGAAATCAAATTTAATCTTATCTCCAGCACTTTGAATAAAAAATTTACACAGAGGCAAAGATGCGCTTCGCAAACACTAGCGAGAAAACGGACAATAAGCAGCTTTGTTAAGTAAATTAGAAAAAGTAGAAATAAGCATCGACTTAGTAAACCTTGCCGGATTCGAACCAAAAGTTGCTATTTCCCGGATTCGAACCAGCGCCCTCGAGGTTTGGAGTCTCACGTCCTTCCCTCTCAGCCATGGGCGCTACGCTTCAGTAGCACTCTCACTAGTCATAAATAATGCAGAAAAGAAATGCTATAGAATTTCCAATGCTACAGATCGTGGTTATAGCAAAAGTGCCACCAAATGAGCATTTATATTTGCAAGTTAGTTGGGAAAAAAGTAGAGCCAAACTAATTCACTGCTAGTGTAATGAACGGCGTAGTCCAAATTTTCGATATAGAAAGCTCTGATATATTATATGCTTTCAACATCGAACGTTTATTTTCCATCGCCGCCTTAAAGTTATTGTCTACTACGCGAGCATTGAATTTTATCTAGTTCGCAAATTTCGCATATCTTTTTCTTAAAACTCATTTGAGGCTTCAATAAAACTAATACATGACTGGTTCAAATTAATTTTTTTTGCATTACCTTAAATTTTCATGGTCATAATCAAAAACTATACATAATTTCTATAACTTAAAAAACTTTCAATAAAGCGACAAAAATTAATTTTTCCAAACTAACATGAGCAAGTATTTGTAGAAGTGATGCGGAATAGACACCAGAATTCCAGCTCCGTCTCCTGTTTCGTTGTCACATCCCACTCCTCCTCGATGTTCCATTCTTTCCAGAATCGTCCTAGCCGAGTCCACAATATGGCGATGCGGCTCTCCATTGATATCCACAGCAAATCCAACACCACACGCGTCCTTCTCTTCTTTGGGACAATACATTCCAAAGTTCGGGTTTTCATCGTTCAGTTTTTCGGGATCATCCGAAGGAAACAGTTGACTGTGACACCACTTGCAAGCCATGGTTCAATTAGATGGATAAAATCTGAAGAACCAGCAATCTGAAAGAATAATATTATTCTCCGTTGAGAATTAAGCTGAATTACTTCGACCAATCACGCTCATGATTCGCTCTTCTCTAGAAATTCCAAACAGTTTGACCAATTGAACAGCATTAAGCCAACACATACTTATAACTCAAGTGCGCATTAAATGTCGCTGATTTACTGAAATTGCTTGGGATGTACAAACGAGAAAATCATTTGGCCTTTTGAGAAAATCAAACAAAAAAGGTGGGCGGGTTCCCCACGAGGCCATGAACATTTAATAATTGCACATTTTCAAAAGTGGCGAAGGAAAACGAAACAGATATTACCAAGTGTTCATTTAAAGAAATAAATTTAGGCGAGAGCGCGATTGCCTCTTAGCGATTTAATATTAAATCCAAAATGATAGATTCGAGATCAGCTTGTTCTAAATAATCACGCAAAACATACTAGGCGACATTGAACGCGCAGGAGAAAAAAACTTCGCTATCATCAAGAAATTCGTTAAATCTTTCCTCAAACAAATAGGGATAGCCGGTTACTGTGCAACGCACAGAATGTTTCGACCACTAGTCTTCGAAAAACTACAAGACATTTTTGTTTTTCAAATTATTGTAGTTTTTTATGCGTAGTGTGATAAAAGGATCTGACGTAAAAATACAATTTAGGCATATTCAACAATCATAAGGGAAATAGGCAAACAGGACAACAGTTTCTGCTGGAAATGACTAGAAAAACGAACAAAATATATTAAAAATTCAAAAAATCTTGTTTTGCTGAAATTTGTTGAATTTTGAGGTTCTTTGTTTCCAAAATGGCATTCAAATCTCAGACTGGGTTTAAACTAACTTTAATCGAGTAAAATTAAAATTAATTATAAATAAGCCATTGTAAACGGCTTTAAAAAAGCATAAATAAGCCTGCTCGCTGGCTTTCGTAGCTCGCAATTAGACGAAAAAACAAAAATTTAAAATCGGTTTTCCTCGACATTAGAAGAAGAAGAAGAAAGAACACCTGAATTACTATACAGTAAAAAGCCGAGGCATCAGTATAGCAAAGTGTAAATAATAAAGTTGGTTAAAATTCATTGGTTCCATCAAACAAAAACACATCAGAAAACAAGCAATAAACAAAACAAAACAAGTTCGGTTACAGTTCAGAAATTGGTCGATTAAAATATATGAAGTTACGGATACTAAAAAAACATCAGTTTTAAAAATTAAGAACGAGCTGGTATTAAAACTTTATAAACAATTTTATAGATAGTCCAAACATACAGCGTATATACAGAGTATATACAGATTTTCTTTCAAACAATGTCTGGAAAATTAAACCAAATTAAAACATATAGAACTAACAAAAACGGAAATCACGCCACGTATTTGTATTTGTACATATTGGATTGTTTCTCAATTCACTCACGTAAAATTCCTTCAATTTTTTCTTGAATCCTATTCTCAATAAAATATGGGCAGTGAATTCCATTTTTTAGAAGTCAAATGAAAAAATCATTTTTGTAGAGAAGCGGTTGAACAATGTTTGTCAAAAATAATTTGTTTCGTTCTTTTGTTGAGCCTATAATTGGCAGTCGGTAGTCTCAATGTATTTTGAAAAGCCTTCTTTTTGTTTGTAAGATATTGGTATAAGTATGTTATACACTTTAACTCAATTCTTTTCTCGATTCCAATGAACGATTTGCTAATGCGAAGAAGGGAAGAAGATTTGAATTTTGATCAGAAGTATGTTCTTTTTAACGCCCAGTTCAACTGTTTCTCTAGAGATAGCATCAAAGTAGCATTAATTTGTTTTAAAAATATTGCTGAATAATCTAAATGCGATAAAACAAGACAATGAAGCAAGGCAACTAATGATAACGTCGACAGTTGTTGTCCAATTGTATCTATAGTTTTAATTCCTTGTGCCATTTTTTAGAGAATTGTTTTGGTTTGAGCATGAGAAGATAAACTTGAATCAAGAATAAGGCCTGAAAATTTGCTTTTTGATTTTTTGGCTACATTATGCCCATTAATTACTATTGTATCAGTATCTACATTTTTGCTATCATTTTTTTGACAAGATGTTATAAATTCCGATTTAGATGCATTCAGATTCAATTGGTTCTCTGCAAAAAATTCCGTTAGATGTGCCAGTCGGTCATATTTGGAAGTTTGACCTTGAGAGAAGCAAAAAAACACTTGATTTTGGAGTGAAATTTAATTTTTCAAAATTTCGAATGGAACCTGTCATGCACGATTTTCTCGCGAGAACTGAGAATCAGAAAAAGAGATAAGAACAAAGTCAGAACAATTGAGTCGCATACGCGGGAAAGTCGCAAGAAAAAGCAGTAGGAAATTGCTATTCGCAATTTCCATCACTATAATAATCGAGAGTAGAGCTGTCCCATCTGTGACAGAGACGAGAGTATTCCCTCGAATTGGATTATAACGACTGGAGTATTATTCGGAACTGGACTAGAGTGAACCTTCGGTGGAAAGGTGGACAGCTTGAGTGTCCTAATGGTTCACAAGAAAACTATTGTCTAGAGTATAAACTCGTTCTCATTGTTAAAACTATAAAACATTAGACTCATTTAGTTACGTTATTTAATTCTTGAGTTAGTTACCGACTGGATTATTTCCCACTTCTTGAGCGTGCTACTATGTGAGTACAAATTTAAATTCCTAGAGTGTGTTTTATGATTGTTATGTTGAGGTAAGGCGAGTTTTAGGTTGATCCATCTGAAATGGATCAAAGTTCCACTGTCTAATAAAAACAAACTTAACGGATTGTTCCAACCCGGATTTAACGGCGTTCATGTATTTTGGGTATCTAGAGACCTAAGTATGGGGACGTTTCTAATTCTAGAGTGGGGGGATATTTTAGTAGTAGCCTTTAAGCTGTAACGGGTCGTAGTCTCATGTCACAAGCGAACCGAACTGGCTCCGACCGTTCTTGAGGTAGAAAAACACAAGAGATAGTGTCCCTGACCCTTGAGCCAGTGGTTATAGGGCCTATTTTTCTTAAGCCTCATGTGTGACTGCAGTAGACGAATGTTACATAGTGTTTTTATGGCGCTCCTGGGTGTTTACGACATCAAGACTACGGAGTCGAACCCACTTGAGACAGCTTCGGGCTGAATGCCCATTCTAGAGTACCGGCGGTACGGTTCGACAGGAACGTGCAAACCTTCCGGTTGTACCGTGATAGCTTTTTAAGAAAACTCGAGAAAATTTCCTGGTACGCTCTCCGAACGAGGCTTAGCTAACCGAGTAAAGGGGGGCAACTAGGGGGACAAAAACACGAGCAAAAAGACAAAAAGCAAAACAAAAACCAAAAAAGAATAGAAAAAGGAACAAAAACCATAAAACGAAAAAAGACAGTGACTTTGACACCAGATTAGTTGGATCAAACCTTTATATTAATTAAATAGTATACCCATACTGTTTTACAAGTTCGATCGTTTCGATCAACCTAGCAATTTAAACCAGTAAACTGAATAAAGTGCCCGAAGTGGGGCGTTGTCAAGGGTTTTCAGATAGCTTGGAACTTAGCTGGACCAATAGGAGACTTGACTGGAAGAGGTGACCAGCCGAGTGAGAAAGTGGTTCAGGGACACTTGAGCTGAACCAATAGGAGACTTGACTGGAAGAGGTGACCAGCCGAGTGGGAAAGTGGTTCAGGGACACTTGAGCTGAACCAATAGGAGACTGGACTGGAACAGGTGACCAGTCGAGTGGGAAAGCAGCCAAGAAGGATTTGGCAATTCTTGAGTTCTCAAGTTGGGCAGAACGGGTATCGTTAGAATCCACATTACATTATAGGAGATAAGTGTAAAATTGGATAAGCGAAAACCCCCAGTTTTGAGGAACGTTTTTACTTGAGCAGGCCTGGAAACAGGTCTACGGTTTTCTCTTGAGAGGTTTAGCACCCGGCGCTTAAAGTAATTTTTAGGCTTAAGAAGGGAGGCTAGAAAGGGGGGAGGTTAGAAGGGGGACTGGTTAGGCTAGAGGTGAGCGGTTGCAAATTGTAAAAAGGGAGAAACTAGAGTAACTAATTAATCGACATCGTTGACTTAGTTACATTAGCCATAACACGCGTTGGTGATAATAGGTGAATATCCAAAATTCAACTCGAGTTAAGACTGGTACGCTGGTTGGTTTGGTAGGGGGGACCGGATATAGACAGCTTTTGTGATACCCCATAAGATCACTAGTGGGGGGAGGAAAACGCGTGGCAATTAGGTACCAGACATTTTTTTTAGACGAAAGGTAGACATTGGTCACCTTTGAATTTCAGGTGGGCTCATTTTTCTGTTTTTATTATTTTTCTTACTTAGATTTTTGTTGCATTTTAGTGAGGATTTGTGTTTGGTTTTATACGAACAGGTGATCACAAGATACCTGCGCACCTACATTGAAATAGAAACAACCAAAAAGAAGAGGGGGGTCAGCATTTGGCTTTTAAGAGAGGGTTTTTGGGAAAATTTTACTAGAGCTTGAGTGGTGGTACAAGGTACGGTGATTCAAGAAGACCCTACAACGAGGAAGACACTCCGTGACGAGTATTGGGACAAGACTGAAGAAGTCTTGGGACAGAGCAGTCTTGGGACAGTGGTCTTGGGACAGGGTCTTGGGACAGGGTCTTGGGACAGGGTCTTGGGACAGTGGTCTTGGGACAGGGTCTTGGGACAGGGGTCTTGGGACAGTGGTTTTGGGACGGGGGTCTTGGGACAGGGTCTTGGGACAGTGGTCTTGGGACAGTGGTCTTGGGACACTAGTCTTGGGACACTAGTCTTGGGACACCAGCCTTGGGACACTGGTCTTGGGACACTACCCTTGGGACACTAGTCTTGGGACAGTAGTCTTGGGACACTAGCCTTGGGACACTAGTCTTGGGACAGTAGTCTTGGGACACTAGCCTTGGGACACGGGTCTTGGGACACTACCCTTGGGACAGTAGTCTTGGGACACTAGCCTTGGGACACTAGTCTTGGGACAGTAGTCTTGGGACACTAGCCT